GATATGGCATAGAAGAGCTTTTAAAAGGTACCCTTGAATAAGGCACTCACCACAACCAGAGATTACAGGACTGGACATTGTTCTGAGTGAGTCCGTGAGCGACTGTGAAGACCTTTGACATTACATACAACTACAGACCTTATCAACACTGCACACCAAGGCTCCACTAAATTTACTAAAGATAGCCGGGCTCAGTGGCTCAGCCTGTAATCCCACGCTTTGGGAGGCCGAGGCAAGTGGATTGCCTGAGCCCGCGGGTTCGAGACCCGCCTGGGCAACTTGGCTAGACCACATCTCTACAATAAATCAAAAAATTAGCCAGGCGTGGTAGTGCGCACCTGTAGTTCCAGCTACTTGGAAGGCTGAGGCAGAAAGATCGCCGGAGCCCAGCAGGTCGAGGCTGCGGTGGCCAGGAGCGGCCACTGCACTCCAGTCTGGGCAACAGAGTGAAACTCCAACTCAAAAAAAAAAAAAATTTACTAACGATATTTTTCTTTCTTCAGTAGTAAATTAACCTTCACTTACTATAAAGTTTTTACTTTGTGAAGTTTCTAAAGTAGGCTTGTTTACACTAGTGTCACCATAAGCACGTAAGTAATGTGTTGTACTGTGACATCATGACAGCTATGATGTCACCAGGTAATAGGACTCTTTCCACTCTATTATAATCTTAGAGAGCCATTGCATATGTGGTCCATCATTGACCAAAAAGTCATTTTGTAGTACATGACTGTATCCATTTGGCTGATGGCTGCGGTCAGCACTGAGAACACTAACCTATCCAAACAGGCCCTCACTTCCCTCCTCCCAGCAGGAGCCCCTATGAGTCAAACACAAACAGAAGCCAGAGGCCTTCTGGGAGTCTAGGGGCAACCAGAGCAGAGGATGTTGGGAGTGGAAGGAGTGTGTCTGCCAAGACAGGGAGGGTGAACAGACTAGTCTGCAAATCCCCTAGATGATTGAGTATTGAGAAACAAGAAGGGTAAATAGTTCACTCGGTGGGGTAGGACTGGAGGGTCCTCAAGGATTCAGATGTGTTTGGTTTCATTCTTAGCTACTGTTCATTGGCCACATTGCAAATACTTTTTAATTCAGGTGTGAAAACAACTCTGAGAGGTAGATACTAGTGTCCCCATTGTACAGATGACGACAGTAAGCCTCAGAGAGGCTAAGCCTCTGGCCTACAGTCATACTGCAACAAAGCAGTGCCACTGAGCTTCTATGCACCAAAGAGTCTGCAATGGTAGCTGTCACCCTGCACCTGAGGAAAGAGCTGTGTGTCAGTTGGGACTGGGCACTGGGGAGAAGGGAAGATGTACACGGGAGCAATGGCAAGAAGTTCTCCAAGAAAGAGAAGAAGCTGCAAGTTAGTCCCCTCAGAGGACTGAGGGAAGATGACAGGCAGGCGAAGCGGGGACCAGGGAAGGCTGCCCAGAGGAGGACGTATGAGCTCAACTCTAAAGGACGAGGTCACCAGATGGAGGAGGGAAGGGGCCCTGGGGCTATCCTGGCCGCTTCTCTTCCCCAGCTACCTGCTGTCCACAGTGTTGTCACCCAGTCTTGTGGTCTGAACCCCATCCACACACAGTAACCATCTCCAAGCTGCCCCCCAGACACCAGGCTGGGTCTCACCAGCAGCCAGCCACAGCCACAGAGACATTGAATAAGCACCTCACACAGCTCGTGCAGAACCTCTGATTTCCTCCCCACCAAATGTGCCACCTCTCTATCCACCCTCCCTCCCCTCCCTGCCATTTTCCAGATCTCAGTAAAGGCCCTGGTGTCTCTGCAGCTGCTCAGGCCAAAGACTGGGGGGCCATTCTTGATTTATTTCCACCCCTCACCCCCATGAGGCATACATCATCAAGTCCAGTTAATTTCACCCCCAAAACATCCCATGGCCATCCCCTGTACTACCAACCTACTCTGGGTCATCATTGACTCTCACCTGGGATGACAGTGCCAACCTCACCCTGGTCCCCCAAGCCCACCCTTAATCTCTTATCAGCCAGTCCCCTCACCATAGCCAGAATCTCTTCAGATGGGACCATGTTGCTTTTCCCCAAGCTTAGAAGAAAGTCCTCCCTAGGCTATCCTTCAAGGCCCCATACAATTCAGTCACATTCATTTCTATGGCTGTAACAAACTACCACAATCCTGAGGACTTAGAACAACACAAATGTATTCATTTATTATCGTACAGTTGTGGAGGTCAGAAGTCGGCCATGGGTCTCTGTGGGCTAAATTCAGGGCTGTATTCCTGCTGTGGACTCTAGGGGACAATCCTCATCCTTGCCTCACCTGCTTCTAGAGACCATCTGCATGCTTAGGCTTTTGCTCTCAAATGACTTCAGTCTCCTGTCACCACCTCTTTATTCTGATGCTGACCCTCCCACCTCCACCTTCCAAGGACCCTGTGATTACACTGGGACCACCCACATAATCCAGCATAATCTCCTGATCTCAAGCTCCTTATCTACCAAAAACCCCTTTCACCATGGGAGGTAACATATTCACAGGTTCCAGGGATTTATATATGGACACTTTGGGGTGGGGAGGACATCATTTGGCCTATCATACTGGCCTGTCCACCTCTTCTTGCACCCCACCCCCATCGCTCATTTCTAACTGGCCCAGGGAACCTCTGGTTCCTTAAATACAACAACCATTTTTCTACCACAGGGCCTTAGTACCTGCCAGTGCTGCTGCCTGGAATTCTCTTCCTTCCCCTGGCAAGTCCTGTAACTGACACTCAGATGTGAGTTTAAATGTCAGCTCTCCCAGGGGCCTTCCCTGGCACCCACAGGCTCAGCTGGCTGGCCCCTCACTCTCTGTTGTGTTCCCCATTTTGTATTCCCTGAACATCTCTGATCACTAGATGATTTTTCCCTCATAATTTATTTTCCTATTGCTTCCACCACAGTGCATTCTTCGAGTGCAGGTCCTGTCTGTCTCACTTACCATGGCACCCCAATGCCTACATGGAGCATGCATACCGTAGGCACTTAACACCTATCAACTCAGTGCTTGGGTTCTCACCCTGTCCTGCCCAAAGGCCTGGGAATACTCCCTCTCCCTGTTTCTGAGTTTCACTTCTATTTATTTTACTTCATTCTCTTTGAGTCACTTCTCACTTGAAGGAGGAAGAATCAAGACTTGCGGTTCCTTTCTAGGCAAAGAAGGAAATGACCCTCAGGGCCTGGGCCCAGTGAGGCTGGGACGGGGGTCACCCATGCCACCTCCCCTGAGTCAGGGCCAGCTTCCCAGCCAAGACTCCCAACCTCTCCCACCCGCCTTCGAGCCTTTGTTCACCGCCTTCCTCTTGCCTGGAACATTCTTCCAGGGCACCAGGTTTCTTTCAGCTTGACCCCTTCATTTATGGCTGAGGAAATTGAGGCACAGAAGGGGCAGGGTCTTCTTCCAGGCACATGGCACCAGCATTCCAGGGTCCACCACCTGAGGGCAGTCCACTTCCTCTTGGGCCAGAGGCAGGGGCCAGAAAGCAGGGAATTTGGATGCTAAGGTCAGCAGACCCAGAAGTCAGCTGGTCCAGCACTGACATCTCGGCCTTCACTGAGGCCAGCCTGGTGCCAGTACTTCAGGAAGTGTCACCAGAGTTTACAGACTTCCTGTGATCCACAGAGGACAGCCAAGGGAGGAGGCCATCCCATCCAGTACCCCATGGGTCCTTGTCACTCTACAGATACATGCTTCCCACTCCCACACACCTGTTCTGCCCCTAAACTATCCCAGGAGCTCCAGGTCAGTGACACAGGGACCTAGGATGGGTGTACAGATGAAGTCAGGGCTGAGAGGGCATGATGGCCAAGGTCACAGCCTGCACTCACCCTAGGGCAGTGGAAAACCTCCAGTTCCTGGAATTCAGAATGAAGTCAGGCTTTGATCTCTGGGTGACCCACATCTCTAGCTCACAGGGCTGCTTTCAAGAGTGCACAACCTGTGCAATGATACAGGGCCTGCACTTAAAAGGGTCTCATGCTTGGTTTAGTGTTCTTCTGTCTCAAAATTCCTGACCTTTGAACAAGCAGCTCCACATTTCCATTTTGTCCTGGGCCCCACAAATTATGAGGCCATTCCCGTGTCAAGACCCTGTTCTCATGACAGCTCCTAAGCTAACCACTCTGTGAGATCTGGGATGAAGAGTCGACCCTCAGGGTTAAGACATTTGAGGTTTCCTACCAGCCTTCTGATGATAGCATCAATGTAAAGCTGCCAAAGAGGTTGTCAGGCTGGCCAGAACAGGCATGTTTGTTCAGAGGAGCCTTTGAATCCCACCCAATAGCAGCTGCGGAGTCAAGGGAAAGCAGTAGGAAGGGACTTGACCTTTGGGGCCAGACAGCCTTGGTTCAAATCCTGGCTCTGCTTCTTAGAGTCTGGGTGATCTCAAGAATGTCACTAAACCTCTCTGTTTCTCAGTTCATCTGTAAAATGAGGGCTACAATTATACCAACCTCAAGGGTGATAGGGAAGATTAAATGAGACAGCACATATGAAGGGCTTGATACACTGTCAGGCAAATGATAAGTGCTCAGTAAAGGTCAGCCAGTGAAATCGGAAACATGGGTTCCTTTTCTCAACTCACCACTTACTTCAGTGTAAACTTAACATCTCTGTGCCTCATTTTCTCATTGGCACAATGAGGATAACCTGAGTGCCCACTGCTTGGGGATTTCAGAGCTGCCATCAGCATCAGCCTTGCCCCTTGCCCCTCCAGGACCCTCCTCTGGGCTCCCCTATCCCCTGAGCATGCTTTCATCCTAGCACATGTGGCTTGTGAGTAGGAATTGTTTCTGTGTCTGTCCTCCACCTCCCAGCCTGGGAGTTTGCTGAGGGCAGAAACAGGGCCAGTTCTGCTGGTGTCAGCAGAGAGTGAAGGATGAAGGAATAAACAGTTCAAGGGAGTTCAGTTCTCCACGGGGGTTGCTACATCCTCAGGCAGTGACCACCATGCCCTGAGTGTGTCTCTCCTCTTTCCCCAGATCTGTCCCTCCTAGGAAGATGCAGAGGCTCATGATGCTGGTGGCCACATTGGGTGCCTGCTTGGGTCTGCTGGCAGCAGCCGCAGTGGCAGCAGCAGGTGCCCACCCTGTCCAGCAGGATACCCCCAGCCTGCTGCCCACCCACCAGCGCCAAAAGAGAGACTGGATTTGGAACCAGATGCACATTGATGAAGAGAAAAATGCCTCACTGCCCCATTATGTGGGCAAGGTAAGGCTCAAGCCTCGGGGCAAGAGAAGCCATCGGTAACTGGTGGTGGTAGCGGTGGTGGCAGTGGTGGTGGTGGCAGTAGCAGCAGCAGCAACCGCAGACACAGTGATAGATTTTGTGGTAGTTGTAGGGGTGGAGATGATGGATGTGAGGGTGATGGCAATAGTGGCAGAGATGGTGGAGATGGCAGATGTGGTGGTGGAGGAGATGGTGGTGATGGTGGTGGTGGTGACCTCAGTGGTGGTGGTCATAGTAAAGGAGAAAGTGGTGAAGATGGTGATGGTGACGGTAGAGGGATAGGTGATGGTGATGATGGTGATCACGAATAAGTGTTGATGGAGGTGATGGTATTGATGATGGAGGGGATGGTGGTGATGGTGGAGATGATAGTGATAGTGATGATAGTGTTGGTGCAGGTGATAGTGATAGTGATGGTGGTAGTGGTGGAAGTGATGGTGGTAATAGTGGGCTGATGGTGATGGCGATGGTGGTGGTGGGCGATAGTGACGGTGGTAGCAGTGGAGGTGATGGTGATAGTGATGGTTGTGGTGGAGGTGATAGTGATAGTGATGATGGTGGTGGTGGTGGTGGAGGTGATAATGATAGTGATGGTGGTAGTGGAGGTACTGATGGTGGTAGTGATGGTGGTGGTGGTGGAGGTAATAGTGGAAGTGATGATGATGGTGGTAGTGGAGGTAATAGTGATAGTGATGGTGGTAGTGATGGCGGTAGTGGAGGTGACAGTGATAGTGATGGTGATAGTGATGGAGGTGATAGTGATAGTGATAATGGTGGTGGTGGAGGTGATAGTGATATGATGGTAGTAGTGGTAGAAGTGATGGTGGTGATAGTAGAGCTGATGGTGATAGTGATAGTGGTGGTGGTGAGGTGATGGTGATAGTGATGGTGGTAGCAGTGGAGGTAATGGTGATGGTGATAGTGACGGTGGTAGCACTGAAGCTGATAGTGATAGTGATAGTGGTAGTGGTGGAGGTGATGGTGATAGTGTTGGTGGTAGTGGTGGAGGTGATGGTGAGCACTATGTTTTACTTTCTCCCATACCTTGGTCTATGGAGCAGATATAACTGACAGAAGGGCCATCCCATGCTCAGGTTGAGGAGGCCACCCTGCCCAGGGACTTTAGGGCTTAAGGCAGAGCCAGTAAAGGCTGCCATGAAATGTTCCCATTTGAGAGATTAGGAAAGATCTGAATAGTCTTTGACAAAATTGAGCTGGTGACAAAATTAATCATCCAGACCATAGTTTGCCAACCTATACTTAGGCCTCTGAATGTCCTCAAAAACCTCTTCCTCTCAGATTCTCCCTCTCTGGTTCCCTGTGACCCTACACAGCTCCCCAGGTTCCAGATCTTCCATAATGAGGTGCCTGACCCGAGCCTGCCCTCCAGGGAAGTACCTCAAGTTCTGACCCTCACTTCATCCTCCTTTAAAATGTGCCCATCCCAAGCCCATTCTCCTAGAACTTGGAGCTTATTTGAGTGACTACTGAATTGCCTCACCATGTCAAATTGTCATCAATGTCAAAGCCATCTGCTCCAATTTGAAGGAATGTTCCCAGTGTTGAAATTTGACACACAATGGCGGGTAGATGGATCATGTATTTCAAGAGTTTTCAGTGAGGAAGAAAGTTTCTTTCAAGTGCATTAAAATCTCACATGTCAGCTTCTTGGCATCAAAATGTTGGGAGTAAAAAAAGTTAATGTACTAGAGAAAGGATGGACAGTTCCAAGCAGTGAACTGGGTGTTGGAAGGACAGCAACAGTGGGCAAAGACAGAGACAGTCCCCACCCTCATGGAAATGGTGGTCTAGAGCAGAGCTAAGCAAACTACCACCTACTGATACAACATGGCCCACTGCCTGGTCTTGTAAATAAAGTTTTGTTGGAAGTTTATTGGAACATAGCCACACCCATTCATTTGCAAATGGCTGCTTTCATGCTACAATGGCAGAGTTGAGTAGTTGTGCTAAGACACTATAAGGCCAGCCAAGTCAAAAATATTTGCTATCTGGCTCTTTACAGAAAGAGTTAGAGAAGGGCAGCATACATCAGACAAAGAATCCCACAAATGGTGGTGATGAGGGTGCTGTCTGGTCACAGAGAAATAGGCTGAAAAGGGCCCTTTGATGCAAAAGCCCACTTCTGGCTCCAGAAATGCCCTAGCAGCCAAAGGAAGGAATAGGGCCAGCTGAGAAATCTCCACTCAGAGCCCCGTCCCCAGCCAGTGACTGTTCCTCCAGCTCCCAAGAATGGCTGGACTCTAAATCCCCCAGCATGGCCAACCCAGAGGGGCAGACACTTGCTCAAGGTCACACAGTGAGATCAGGACACAGCCCTAGGAGAACCTAGCCCCAGGAAAACGTGAGTTCCTGACTCTCAACATAAAAGTGAGCTCTGTGTCATAGAGGGAAGTGTCGTCAACCTACCTACTATTGTACCATGATTCAGTCTTTGAATGGAATGGCCGGCCCCAGGAAAGATCTTCAGAGTGAGTCAGGGAAAGCCTGTGGAATGTGGAGGCCACCTGCATCATGTCTTGCACAGCCCCAACAAGGCATCCATTGGAGGGCCTGCCCAAGGTCTCAGGCAGCAGGAAGACTGCCCGGCCTGCCGTCATCTGCAAACAGTGTTCACTTGGCACCTGGTATTGAGTTGGGGGACAGAGGAGCCACATGTGGTCCCAACCCTGGGAAGAAACAGGTTGCTTGGGAGAGGCAAAGACTGGGCTCCAAAGATCACCTCCTAGTCCTCGAGGATGTAATCTGAGGGAAGGAAGTCCTTGTTTGTCAAGAACAGTCTGGAGCTTTTATTTACAGATGTGGATGGACAATGGGAGCGAACATTGAGCGGCTTTCAGAATCCACAGTTATGAGTCAGCATGGTTTTTGACACTGAGATGTTTGGCCAAATATATGAGGGACCCCAAAAAAACAGAATTTTTTTTTTTGAAGAGCGGGCTTCTTGTAATACAAGCTTTCCCTGCTAATTATGTATTCTAGGAACCCACTGACATCAGTGTACTAACTAACATTGTTGTTAGAGGCTGCATTCTGCTTCACTGAATTTTTTTTTTTAAGATTCTTTCACCGGGCTCAGACTGTAATCCCGTGCTTTGAGAGGCTGAGGTGAGTGGATTGCCTGAGCCCGCAGGTTCAAGACCCGCCTGGCCAACTTGGCGAGACCTCATCTCTACAATAAATCAAAAAATTAGCCGGGCATGGTAGAGCGCACCTGTAGTTCCAGCTACTTGGAAGGCTGAGGCGGAAGGATCACCAGAGTCCAGCAGGTCGAGGCTGTGGTGGCCGGGAGCATGCCACTGCACTCTAGCCTGGGTGACAGAGTGAGACTCAAACTCAAAAAAAAAAAAAAAAAATAGATTCTTTCAACGCATTTGCCCATTTAATGTTGTGTGATTTACAAGCGCACCTGCCTACACTGTGCTGAGTTTTCAGGAGTTTTTGACCCAAAACAGCATAACCCGCATGTCGTACCCTCCCTCTCAGCCCATCTTGCCCCAAGTGACTTTTTTGTTTCCTTGGATGAAAAAGTCCTCAAAAGGAAACATTTTGCCAATGTGGAAAAGATGAAACAAAAAAACCACAGAAGCACTAAAACACATCAAAATTGATGAATCCAAAAACTGTTTTGAGCAGTGAAAAAGCATCTTGATAGGTATATCTCATCAAACAGAGTACATTGAAGTCGACTGAAGTTTAAACATGTAAGAATAAACTCACAATTTTTAATAAATAAATTTTGGGTTTTTTTGTGGTCCCCCCTCACATGGTCATCTTAGAAAAGGGGATCAGGCTCCCAGAAACCTATAACCCTAGTCACAAGGAAAACATCAGACAAATTCCAGTAGGGAGGGATCATCTTACAAAGCACCTGACTAATACTCCTAAAAACTGTCAAGGTCATCAAAAGCAATGGGAGTCTAAGAAACGGTCTCAGTCACGAAGAGCTTAAAGAAACATGACAATTAAATATAATGTGTACCCTGAATGGGATCCTGGAACAAAAGGAGGACATTAGGTAAAAACTAAAGAAATCTACATAAACAATAGCCTTGAGTTAATAATAAAGTAACAATATTGGTCCATTACTAACAACACATATACCACACTAATGTAAGGTCTCAATGCTAGGGAACAGGCATTTAGGAACTCTCTGTCCTAGTTTCTCAATTTTTCTGTAAATCTGAAACTGTTCTAAAAAAAAATTAAGTCCAATGAAGAAAACTTGGAAGGAAGGAAAGCAGAAACTAGATAGTCACATGCAAAGTTTTATGCAGAACTCCAGTAAAGTAGACCCACGCTGACTTGCTCCCCCCACCCTTCCTGCCCACATGGGTCCAAACACACTCACCCAGAGCCAAGCTGGAAGACTGTCATCTTTTCCTAACCCTGAGCAATTCACAAAGGGCCCCAGACTGTCCCCTTCTCTTTCAGTCCCCACTGTCACTGAAGGCCACAGAGCTGGGACATTGCTGCCTACCACCTGTCTGGCTATTCATCGTATGTCCTGGCTATTAGGCCCTGGGACCACCTCATAAGGCTACTGCCCCCTGCACGCCACAGTCCTGTTCCAGGAGGCTTTACCACAACCAACTGCTGCTCACCCTTCTCCTTCCTAGGGAGAGGGTCCTCACTCCCTACCTCCCTCTCCTCGCCTTCCAGACTCTTCTCTACACTCTACCATCTGACTTCTCATCCCACTATCCAGTCACTGCTCCCACCAAGGGCTGCAATGACTGCACTACTACTAAGCCCTGGACATACTTTCCAGACCTCATGGGCTGTGACCACATCCTTCTAGAACCTCCCTCTTCTCTTTTGAGCCCCCAGCTCTCTCGGTTCTCTGGAGGACTCCAAACTTTCTAAAAAGTCCTCACCAGACACCAAGCAAGGCCCTGGCTCCATTTGACCCTTAAGTGTTGCCCTTTCTCATGGTGCCAGCTTCAAACCTAAGTCCTGGGAGCTACAATGGGATCTGAGCTGTCTCTGTGCTCCCAGCAGGGCCCTGGCACTTTCTATAGCACCAATTTATATTTTTTAATCTAATTGAATTCTATTTTTGACATTCTAACCTTCTATGAGAGTATCATCTTACACGCATGAAATACTATTATCTTCCTAATATTCTCTGTTTCTAAAAGATTCTTTAAGTGGAATGTTTAGCTATTTTAACCTTCTAATATCCTTTAACCTATGGCTCTATTATTAATAATAACTAGCATTTATTGAGACCCCTGCTCCGTGCAAGATGCTTTACAAAAATTAGTTTCCAATCTTACTTCTTGGGACACTAGTAGTACATATTACAAAGAAAAATTAGTTCAGTGGTCTAATAAGTATGAAAACTCCTGAGTTAAACAAAACTCATTGGAGTTCTTTATTGCAGGACTGGACATTGTAAATCTCTAAACGTAGAACATTTTATGTACCATTTCACAACCCAATTGACTGGAACCAGTGGTACACTGATAAATGACAATTGTCTCTCCAGGGGAAAAGGTCTTGATTTGTAGCATCTGCCAGTTTCCATGGTGTAAATACTCTAGCCACGTCTGATTTAAAGCTGTCAACATGATGTCACTGAAGGCCGAGTTGGGAAGAAGATGTGCATGAACACATCATGATTTAATGTTTCCATCATACAGATATAATAGACATGAATAACCTCAAGAATATAGCCAAATGCAGTCAAATAATTAGGGTGTGATGAACTCCAAGTGTCTGTTACCTTTGCTTTTAATATAATGCATTTAATTGTAAGTTTATATAGCTTAATTTCTAATGATGACTATGTTTGACTATCAGCCCACAAATATTCCAGGACATTTAAATTGGCTCTCAGAAGCCAAGCTGACACAAGCCAGCCCAAGCTCATCACCGGCAGGGACCCCGTTTTGTGTAATAAAGCAATAGAGGCCAGTGTTTCCTGGAATTCACTTCCCAGAGTGCTGTTCTACTCATTAGAGCAGCTCAACATCAGAAGCAATATGATTTCCATTTTACAAATGTGCTAACCACAACTCAGAGAGATTAAGCAATTTCAAAAATAATCCTTGCCTTCCAATGGCACTAAGTATATTCTCACACTCAAAAAGTGTATTCTAAGCACCTACTAAATTCAGGCACCATCGTAGGTACATCGGGCCACTGCTAAGCAACTCGCTTCAGTTTGGTGTTTGCAGGGACCTGGCTGAGAACAACTCACTGTTGAATAGTCAGAGGCTCTTGTTTAAAACCTCGATGTCAGCCGGGTATGATGGCTCGTGCTTGTAATCCCAGGACTTTGGGAAACCGAGGTGGGAGGATCACTTGAGATCAGGAATTTAAGACTAGCCTGGCAACATAGCAAGACTCTGTCTCTACCAAAAAAATTAAAAGACTAGTTAGGGATGGTGGTGCATGCCTGTTAGTCCTAGCTACTCAAGAAGCTGAGGTGAGAGAATCACTTGAGCCCAGGAATTCAAGGTTACAGTGAGATATGATCGTGCCATTGAACTCCAGCCTGGGCAATGGAGTGAGTGAGACTCTGTCCTCACTCTCCCAAAAAATGCTCAGTGTCACATTTAGGACCCCTGGCCAGGCCCATACACATATACATACATGTGCAAACATGCACATGTGTACACCTGCATACAGCCATACCTAACGCATGCATGTGCACACTCATGTGGGCACACACTGTCACACACACTCACTCAATTCTATCCCCAGCTCATGGTGTCTCTTCTTTCCTAGATCAAGTCAAGTGTGAATCGCAAGAATGCCAAGTACCTGCTCAAAGGAGAGTCTGCCGGCAAAGTCTTCCGGGTCAATGCAGACACAGGAGACGTGTATGCCTTTGAGAGGTTGGACCGAGAGAAGATCTCTGAGTACCAACTAGTGGCCCTCATCGTGGACAAAGACACCAACAAAAACCTAGAGCCTCCTTCTAACTTCACCATCAAAGTTCACGATGTGAATGACAACTGGCCTGTGTTCACACAACGGTTGTTCAATGCATCAGTGCCTGAAATGTCAGCTGTGGGTATGTGCCCAGTCTGTCCCTCCCCTCACTCCCTCTCTAATCCCCAGCCTGGGGACACCTCTCACACCAGTCATTCACTGCTTGGCATCAAAATTCTGAGAGTTCAGGGCAGTCTGTGTTGCCACTTTATATGACTTGAAAGAAATATTGGTCCCTAAAGATTAAACTCTGACCTGGCCCCAGACTAAGCCTGACCCTAGTCACAATCTAAGCCCTGATCCTGTTCATGAACTGAGCTCTGGAGCCTAGTCACAGACTGAGCCCTGATCCTGATCCTGGCCATCAGAGACATATACACATCTCATTACTCTTCAGAACAAACCTTTGACTCTCAGGATTAGCACACCAAGAGAATAGCTTTTGCACAGAAAGAATGCCAAGCCATACCACTAAGGCAAGAAAAGTTATCTCTAGGGGCCAAATAGGAGTGGAGTTGGGGGACAGAACCCTGGTCCCAAGGTGTGTCACCGGTCTGGACCCTGGGCTCAGGAGGTTAGTAGTTTACTTCTTAAGATATCCCCCAACCTCCAGAGAGTGTCAGAAAAGAGCTTCCCTCTTCACCACCTTAGTCCAGGGTCTCAGGCCAAGGCCCTGGGATCAGATCTTTCTGCTGAGTATGAGACCCTGGAGTTCAAGGGGGTGCAAGACATGACACCACCCCTTTGGGACATCTTTTCATTCTCATGTTCACACTCTTCCAGGAGAGGTAGAAGCAGCCCATCCTATCCTCGGCTTCTCCTCCTGACCCAAGCCCTCCAGCAACTTCCTCATTTCTCCCATAAATTCACAAACAACCTGTTCTCTTTGACCCCTTCATGGCTGACCTGGCTGGGTACCTACCACTGCCAGCACTTCAACCCCAAGCAGGGTCCTCTGAAAACAAAGGTTTTTCTTCCTCAGGACTTGGGGAAGGTGGGACAGAGAATAGTCTGAGCCCCATCTTCCCTCTTCCAGGAATGGGGTCAGGGGCCTGGCAGTCACAAGGAATCTCTCTCTGCAGGGACCTCGGTCATCCGTGTGACAGCAATGGATGCAGATGACCCCACAGTGGCAGATCACGCCTCTGTCATGTATCAAATCCTGAAGGGAGAAGAGAATTTTGCCATCGATAAATCTGGTCTGTGTGATGAAACTTCCTGGGCAGGCACTGACTTGGAGGGATGGGGGGGTGAACATTCCATGTGCATATACTAAGGGAAGTCCAGTCTGATAGGTGTCACCAACCACAGAACCACACTGTCCCATAGAGGTGGTCAGTATCATATATATATATAGACAAGGTGACTGGTCAAAGGAGATGGAAGCAGACAGGTGCATATGACACGGACTCAAATCCTGGGAAAAAATCAGGACCTTGTTACCTAAGCGGTGACCAAGAAGCAGCAGCAAATTCTGGGTAGCAGCTCTGGGTACAGGTTCAAACAGATCTGGTTTCCAATACAGCTCTGCTACTCAACCCCTCTAAAAACCTGAGACAAGTCAACTAACTTCTGTGAGCCTTAGTTAAGGAGAGAGCATGGATCATGGTAATTATTCACTCAATAACTTAACAAAAAAAAACCCATAAGGACTGAGTCTTGGGAGCAAGATGGAAGGACAGTTGGATTGTCTTTCAGAGGGATGACAAACACATAGCATGGGCACCACTACTATGCTACAGTATACTAAGGTAGACATCACTAATCCATCACAGCACTCTTTCACTCTGAGTCTGGATGTGGCCTCAGGATCTTTCTCAACACAATGAATGATCCAGGTGGCTAGGACCAATACAGGTGGCTAGGACCAATATTGAACCAAACTGTTTGGCCAGCTATGGTCACGCAGTGCAGGCCTTGCAGGTAGTGGGTTGTAGACTCTAGGTTCTCAGACCTGGCTAAACAGTGGAATCACCTGGGAAGCCTCTAAGTCAGGTAGCACTTGGAAGTCAGCTTCTCCCCAGGTAGGGACCCAGGTGTATTTTCTAAAAGTTCCCTCAGTGACACAGCTCCTCCTGGGATTCCTTTTTGTAGGACTCATTTTCACAACAACCAAAAACTTGGACCGAGAGACACAGGCCAGGTACGAGATCGTGGTGGAAGCACGAGATGCCCAGGGCCTCCAGGGGCACTCAGGCACAGCCACCGTGCTGGTTACTCTGCAAGACGTCAATGACAACTTTCCCATCTTCATCCAGAGTGAGTCTCTCCCCTGGGAAAGGAAGGCGGGATACGCCAGACTCAATGACTTGGGAACTCTGGGGGAGGAATCTGATCCCCACCCTCATCTCGCTCCAAACTCTAGCGTGGGCCTAAGGCCCAGAGAAGTCTTTTGGGTGCCTGGAGGAGCCCTGCTACCACCCCTGTGTCACATTCCCAATGCTATCATGCCGCCCCCTGCCATGATCTCCTCACAGGCCAGAGGGGAATCACTCTCCCTGCTGGGTGCCACCATTGTGCCCCAAGTCCTGCTACAAGACGAGCAGTTTCACCCAGATCCCCATGGATCAGGAAAACCCAGGTCCTGAGACTCAGGCTCCAGCTAGAACATTTCCACCAGCAAAGTTCTACATCCAGAGCCAGGGCTGGGCCCGATCCCACCTACAGACCGATTTTCTCTCAAAATAATGTCTGACAAGAGCCTTGCCCACATCCTAGCTGGGCCAGGGAAGAAAAGTTGATGGCTCTGTTCACTCATATCCCCAGGGATGATGCTGTCATTCAGTAGTTCTGTCTCCCCAGCCTCCCTGAATGACTGATGCTGTCATTCAGTAGATCAGGCCAGTTCTCCTGAAGTGACCTCATTGTACATGGCATACCCTCCCTGAAGGCAGGGCTTGTCTCTCTCTTGTCAGTTGATAGGTCCCCTTGCAGAGTGCCTGCCACACAGTAGGTGCTCAATAACTACTTCTGGATGAATAGAGGGATGGGTAGATGGACAGACAGGGCAGAACCTCTTTCCCTTGAGACCCAGAATCCCAAGGGCATTATTATTATCATCATTATTTTATCATGCCCATTTCCCGTATCAAAATATGTTCCCAAAGCATGAAGAATCAATTGCCTCATCATTTCATTAATACAATGCCCTTCGGGGTGCCCTCTTTCATCAGCCACGTACACGTTTGCTGTGCCTGAAGATATCCGCGTAGGCAGCCCCGTGGGCTCTCTGTTTGTTGAGGACCCAGATGAGCCCCAGAACCGGAAGACCAAGTACAGCATCGTGCAGGGCGAGTACAGGGACACTTTCACCATCGAGACAGACCCCAACCACAACGAGGGCATCATCAAGCCCAGGAAGGTTTGTAGGACTGTAGTGATGCCGTCAGACTGGGGGTTCGGAGTTCTAGGCAATCACAGGTGTTGCCTAAGGAGAATGTTCTAGGGCAGCTCTGAGCCTGTCACGTGCTTGTGGAGACTGTGACCCAGTGTCTTAGGCTGAGTTACTCCAAAAGTAGACCTTGAGGTAAGGATTGGGTGTAAGTTGTTTATTTGGGAGGTGATCCCAGGAAGCCTCAGAAGCAATGACCCATGAGAAGAGGGAAGCTAACACTGGGCTCATCAATGAGCAGATGTCACTTTGGGCAAGGGGGGCCCAGTCCCACTGGGGACCTCTGAGGGACAGTGTAGAAAGCATCTCAGAGTTGCAACAGCTGAGGGTGAGTGAGCTAGGATATTTATACACTCACTCTCGACAGTGTTGATTGGGGGCTTCTCCTGGGGGCACTTCTGGCACTTTCTGTCCTGGCCAGTAGAAAGCCATCAGCATGGAAGAAATGGTGAGTGCTGGGGACATATGGATGGCTGTTGACAATGGCTGCTGCTGACAAAGGTCAGACAGACCGAATCTGGAAGATGAGGAAGGGGTCCTGTCAGGGGTGTAAAAATTTCTCTGGGATGGCCATGCCAAGGACTGGGGTCCTGGGTCTGAGTCCTAGGGACTGAAGACATCAAAGAGAGGCAGACCCAACTTCCAGCATCAACACAACTCTAAGTGTGTGAGGAAGAGTGTTTTAACAGCAACACCATACAGTGAGCAATTACCTGTCAGGAAAGGCTTCTGAGAGAGTATCTGGCTACCTTCTGATTGCCTTCTTGAGGGATGAGTAGGAGTTTCTTAGGCAGACAAGGACAGGAAAAAAGGTGTAAGGAAAAGGTATATCCTTAAGCACTTGTGGGTAGAATCACTAGACCATGATCCCCGTGCCCATGAGCAGGCCCAGAGCTGACCCATCGCATGTCCTTAGTACTGGGAACAGATCCAGGATTGGGAGTGTGGCCATGAGGCTGCTGAGATGAACTGGGGAGCAGCTGAGACAGACAGTAGGCCCAGCCATTCTCTTGATGACCTTGGAAATATTACTTGTCCATGCCACAGGGCCCTCATCTATAAAAGAGGTGACATCCTGGTGATACCATGCAGGGTTGTGTGAAGATCATGTGCTTGGCCCAGAGCAGACGCTCACCATGCTTTTCCCTTATGCAGCTCCTGGACTATGAACACATTCGGCAATACAGCTTCACCATTGAGGCTACAGATCCCACCATCAACCTCCGATACCTGAGCAGCACCCCCGTCAGAAACCAAGCCCGTGTCATCATTGATGTCACAGACGTGGATGAGCCACCCGTCTTCCAGCAGCACTTCTACCACTTCCAGCTGCCGGAGAACCAGAAGAAACCTCTGATCGGCACAGTGCGGGCCACAGACCCGGATGAGACTCGGCACAATATTGGGTAAGCAGGTGGTGGGTGGGTCAATGCTGATGACAAGGACAAACCCAGCATTGATGTTCTGTTGGTCTGGGACCAGGACTCAGAGAGGTAAACTGGCTTCTCCCAGTGCATTCAGGGGAAGTAGCAGAGGCGAGACTAGAAGCCAAGCTCTCCCACTAACTTACTCAGTGGGTTGGACTCTTACCCTGCTCGGACCTCCCCACCCCCACCCCCATCACATAGCATGGTCCTGGCCATCCAGGGCTGCCTGTCCTCTGTTCGGCCTTGAAGGCTTGTTCTGGACTCCAGCTCTCACAAGTCCCATCTAACGAGATATGGCAATCAAGGGAGAAACCAAACCAACACGATGATACACCTGAAGCCCCTATTAAAAATGGTTTATTCAATGTGTCTTCCCAAATCCATTTTTTTTTTTTTTTGAGTTGGAGTCTCACTCTGTCACCCAGGTCAGACTGCAGTGGGCTCAAGCGATACTTCCACCTCAGCCTCCTGAGTAGCTGGGACTATAGGCTTGCACCACCACTCCTAGCTTATTTTTTTTTTTTTTTTTGCTTGTTTTTTTGGTAGAGATGAGGTTTTGCTATGTTGCCCAGGCAGGTCTCAAATTCCTGGCCTCAAGCAATTCTCCCGCCTCGGACTCCCAAAATGCTGGAATGAGGCATGAGGCACCATGCCAGGCCAGACATGTTCATGTTGCCCAGTTAGACAATACAAAGATCTATCAAGGAAACGATGATAACCCCACTCTCAGATAACTCAGGTTAATGACTTAATGTGGTCCCATAACACCTTCTTCAGGACCATACAAACATATAGATACAGTCATGTTGAATTTGTTGTGGCTGTTTGTTTTTGGTGTTTGATTGTTTTTAAATTTTTTGGATCATGCATTGCTCATCTCATTGATATTTTTTCTTCTGTCTTAAATAGACTTCCCTCTGGTACACATACACACACAAAATAGTTCTAACCCATACTTTTTAGAGCCATGTAATATTCAATAATAAGTATGAATTTAATCCAATCTTATTTTATTTCAGATGGGTAGCCAATTGTGCTAGCACAGTTTATTAAATAAGTCAACGTTTTCCCACTTTTATTATACTAAGTTCCTGTAGATGCCTGAATCTGTTTCTGAATTCTCTGTTTTATTTATTGTTCTGTAACAAAACCATTCTATTTTATTGTACCAGCTTTACACTAAATCTTAGATAGATATATATATATAAAAGTTCCTTTTTTGCTTTTTTATTTTATATTTTTATTCATTCTCAAACATTTATTCTCTTATCAACTTTAAAAAATTATCCAACTTTTTACAAATATTAGAATTCTAATGAGAATTGTGTTTATACATTAATTTTGAAAAAGTTCGTGGTATTAGGTCTTCTTTTTGAGACAGGGTCTCATTCTATTGTCCAGGCTGTAGTAACGCAGTGGTGGCATGATCATAGCTCATTGTGACCTCGAAGTCCTGCGCCCAAGTGATACTTTCACCTTGGCCTTCCAAAGCGCTGAGATTGCAGGCATGAGCCACCACACCTGGGTTACGTCTTCTTATTAAGGACCAAATTCATTCCTCCATTTTGATTACATATTTGGGGCAAAGTTTGGGACTACTGTTTGCCGTTCTATTCTAAAGAGTCTATAATTTTGTTTTTGCTTTTTCTTTGATCCAAGGGTTTGTTTAGGATTGACTTGATTTTTTTCTTTTCATTTCCAAGTGATAGGGTATTTTGGGGTTTCGCTTTAGCTAGTTCTATGATGTCGCACAATTGTATTTGTGTCCATTTTTTCCTAGAATATCTAAGCTTTTATTCTGCATGCATTTTAATTTTTCTATTCCATTAACAAAGATTTGTAGCTATTTTGCTTTCTTTGTGTTTTGTAACTTTTATCCCTATAAAACTACCCAATTTGTTCTGCTGAAATAGTTTGCCTTCAATTCCATGTTGCCCAATGTTGAATGTGTCCTGTTTTCATATTATTCATATCTGCCTGATGTAAATTTGTCAACTTTTATTTTCAACTTTTCCGAGTTGTTTGGCATTGTCTTCTGAAAACACGATGTAATTCCAGTTTTGCTTTTTAATCTAAACTGGAATACTTTGTGTTTAACCTATATACACTTTTCATCATAAATGATACATTTAATCTTACTTCTTTTATCTTGTTTTACATTTCCCACTTCTCAAACTTAATGGCTTTTTTCTTTTTCCCCATATTTTCTATACTATCTATTTTTTACATTTTTTATCCTAGCTATTTGGATAAAGGGCATCTGTTTCTACTTCTACCAGTGAGAATTACTCCTATCTGTAAAATTTTAAATGTTTTCCTGGACCTATATTTTCTAGTTTAAAATATCACACACACACACACACACACACACACACACACACACACACACTGTTGCCTTCCTATATATGATAATGAAATCAGTAGCTTCATTTTAATTCCTACCAAGCCTGGCTTTTACTTTATATTGAGACTCTTAGCTACATGGAGTAAGTTTTCACAAAAGTTTTTTTTAAGACTCATCTTTGTGAAAAATATACTTACTGAGTTCGTGCATATTTGCCAATACCTTAGTTCTTGGCTTCTTGTAATTAAGATGTGCTCACTTAATCCTCAAATCTTAGACACTTCCCTTCAAAAATACTATCAATGTGTTCCAGCAGTTAATTTTGTGGGGACAAAATTAATTTTGTGGGGACATTTAGGGCAAGTCTGATTTCTCTTTCTTCTTAAGGAATTTATTTTTTTCTGCTTGGACTCTCTTTCATTTTTTCACATAGCCCTGAAATTCATAAGTATTCTCAGGATATGCCTAAATATTGCTCTCTTTAAATGATTAAGTCATTTAAATAATGCTTGATATCAATGACATCTTTTAATCTATAGATTCAGATCTTTCTTCAGATCAGGAAATTTTCTTTTATTATATGTTTTATTGCTTCTTCTGTGTTATTTTTTCTGGAATTTTTCTCAGTAATAGCAGTTATTCTTCATATATATGAAATATTTATATATTTATCTTTTCACAACTTTTTCCTGATTTCTGGAAAAACTTTTTGAATGTTTACTTCACAAATTTAATTTCCTTGTAATTAGCTCTTGTCTTCTCCAGCTCTTTTAGTGTTTCTTCCTGCCTCTTGCCTAGGTATCTTCCTGTTAATCATAAAAACCAATCTCTGTTGTGCTGCAGTGTCACTTGCTCAGCCCTGAAAGTACTATTGATGGTCTCAGGGACCACCTTCCGGCCAGGATGGCAACGTCACTAAGATCAAAGATATTATGTCGCTACCCTAAGTCCCTCTGTGTGGGTCTGCTCCCTGCTCCAGTGACAGAGCACAGTGACCGCTGAGAGGAAGATGGAGAAGGGTGCGGGGAACGGACCCTGAGGGTTTTGTCTGTGGTGCTGAGGAGTTTGGACCCAGAAAAGGACAATGGAAGCTATGGCACTCTCTCCCCGGGGCAGGTACTCCATCCGCAGGACCAGTGACAAGGGCCAATTCTTCCGAGTAAGCAAACAGGGGAACATTTACAATGACAAAGAACTGGACAGAGAACTCTATCCCTGGTATAACCTGACTGTGGAGGCCAAAGAACTGGATATTAGTGGTGAGTGGCCCCATCTGCCAGGGGACCTGGGCTCTTTTCCTTTTCTCTCATTCTTTCAAAACAGGCATTATGTGTCATTTGGGGTCTCAAAAAGTATTACAAGTACCTGCAGAGGTGTCACTGGTTAGGATGCTGTAGAGCTTCCATGCTCAAGGGTGGTCCTTGAGTCAGCAGCACAATCCAATCTTTTCATCCAGAACGCCATCCCTGGTCTCTCTTCCATAGCTTCTTCCTGCAAAAAGCGGCCTCCACAGGAAGCTCTCCAGGACTACCCATCCATACATCTTTCATCTCCTAGGGCCAGCATCAGCTGAGCTCACTCTGGTGATGAGTACTCTCCCCTGCAGGGAACCCCACAGGCAAAGAATCCATTGTGCAGGTCCACATTGAAGTTCTGGATGAGAATGACAATGCCCCAGAGTTTGCTGAGCCCTACAATCCCAAAGTGTGTGAAAATGCTGCCATGGGCAAGGTGAGTCTGTGGAGGTGGGAGGTGAGGAAGTACCACCCTGGGATAGGCTGAGAGGCGGGACCACCCTCTCAGTCAGTTGGGGTTCTGCTGAGCCTAATGGAACCTATGCAACACCCCTGAGGAAAAGTAACATACTCCCCATTTTACAGATGGAGAAACTCAGGCTTGGAGAGACTGTCTGGGGAGTAGATTAGCAGGGGCAGGAGGGTAGAAAGAGTAGTTTTATGAAGACCTAAAATAAGTAAGAGGCAGCCATAGTCAGGTCTAAATCCAAAGACCCCATCACTGAACCCCAGGCCATCCCAGCACCGTCATTGACCTTCTCCGTTTTTCACACTCCAGCTGGTCCTACAGATCTCCGCAATAGACAAGGACATAATTCCACAAAACATGAAGTTCAAGTTCTCCCTGAATACTCAGGACAGCAACTTCACCCTCACGGATAATCACGGTATGCATTAAAGTAGTCAGCTGGTCCTTAACAGGTTCAAGAGTGAGGTTACCTGAGTCTTGAAGCACCAGGGTCAAGGACCACACCAGCAAACTGGGGGCAGGCCCCTACTGGGATTTTCAAGTTACAGGATATTTTGTCACTCCTGCCACATACACCGTATGCTTGGTCCGTGCAATGATCTGAGCTGCCCTAGCCAAACTGCCGAGTCCATGTGGCCTGTCACTCCCTAATAAGATGAGATGGCTCAAGGCAGCAAGGGGTACAGAGGAGATGTGGGGTGCAGGCAGTCAGCTCAGCTCATGAACTAGATGAAGGATCCCATCCACACGGGATTGCTGTGCCTCGGCAAAATCGCAAATTGCTCTCTGCTGTGGAATGTTGAAGTCACTCCCAAAGAGTCTAAATTGGCATGTGAAATCCTAAATCCCAAGGATACAGTGAGCTTTGTTTGAATTTAATGACAATGACTACTCACCACCAGGTGGCCATGTGATGGCATTAGTGGCCAATCAGAGCTTCTGAGAAGTGCTGATTGGAGGGATGAGGCTGAGTTGACTTCATTCCAGCCAAAAGTAGACAGGCTTCCGTGGTCTCTGTAACATCCTCGGAGAAATTCAAAAAATCCCCCTTGAGTGTAAATAGAGTGGTCCTTCACCCAGACCACCTGCCTGAGTAGACCTCCTGCCTGCCCCTAATTGGCAACACTATGGTTAATGAGGAGATCTATATTGAAGCAGCCCACTGCCACCTTTGAGGGAGGTCGAGAGTGGGGGACAGACCCAGAGGGTCAGCCACAGACCTGTTCTTAAGGAGCCTGTTGTGGGATGCGAAAGGTGGATCTGCCATGTTGATAGTCAAAGACAGACCGTTCAACATTCAGCGATCCTTCGGCCTCAGCTTTCCAAGTAACGGGAACTACAGACGTGCACTAGCACACCCGGCTATTTTTTATTTTATTGTAGAGATGAGGTCTTGCCAAGGATTACTTGAGGCAGGAATCAAAGACCAGCCCAGGCTGGTCTCGAACCCACAGGCTCAGGCAATCCAAAGTGCTGAGATTACAGGCTGAGTCACCGAGCCAGGCCTCAGCTGTCTTAAGAAGTAAATAATGTGACAAAGATATCCCCATCCCCAATGTCCACCCCAGGCCCACCTCAGAGTGGGGATCTGCAAAGGGGTGAAGGTTTTGGTGTCACCCCAAAGACACCCATATGCAACCAGGAGATAAGTCAGTTGGTCTCAGATTCACTTAATGTCCTGCATGTCAAAAGCTCTAATTTATCCCATAAAATGTCAATGACATATCGTTTATTTCAATTATAAGACTTAATACTGAAATGTAATTATGAGTTATGAAATGTAATTGGCCTTCATTTGAAATCTAAAAAATGGCTTTCTTGGCTTTTGGCTGGCTTTCTGAGTATGCCAACCCTGCATAGCTAGTAAATCCTGGAGCAGAAGACGTCTGGGACCCTCCTCTGATCACAGGCATTACAACCGCCTCAGAGTCTACAAAAGGCAGATCAGGATGGGCACAGTGGCACACACCTGTAATCCCAGCACTTTGGAAGGTCAAGACAGGAGGATCACTTGAGGCAGGAAATCAAAGACCAGCCTGGGCAACAGAGAGAGACTTTTCAACTCTACCAAAAACAAAAGTTTTATAATTAGCCATGCATGAGTAGCCAGGCACGAGTAGCCTGGGCTTGTAATCTCAGCTACTCAGGAGACCAAGGGGAGAAGATCGCTTGACCCAGGAAGTTGAGACTGCAGTGAGTGACACCACTGCACTCCAACCTGGCTATCAAAAAACTAGACCCTGCCCTCCCCACCCCCCAAAAAAGAAAAAAAATATTATCTGGCCTCAACCCAGAACCAATGCATAAGAAATATTTGTGAGAGTAAGGGTCTGAAAAGCAACCTGTTTTAAGAAGCTCCCTGAGGGATTCTTATATACAGGAAACCACTGACTGGACCTGGGACAAGGAGCCAGTACTAGAACCAAAGCACATTCCCAGTCTCAGACTGTCCCGGAAACTCACAATTACAAATGTAATCATTTTCCCTGTGCCCCAAGGATCATATGCATTGTTTTCACTGTTGTAAACAGTATAACAATGGATTTTCAGGGATAGCAGAAACTGTCTTAGAAGTTAGCCTAACACTAAAAGACTTTTAAAACTTTATTTTTCCCAATTGCTTGTCAAAGCTTGAAGTGATAACATTAATTAATTGAGCTGAAAGAGAATAGCTCCTGTTATTGGAGTGAAGTTAAGAAAGAGGACGGGGTCAGGCATCAGTTGCCCACAGAAACCAAAAGCAAAAGGCTTTTACCTTCTGGCCAACGCATTCTTGGAGGCTGGATCAAAGCAACTCCCCAGTTATGCTCTCTGTGGAAGACCAGGCCTGCTCTCAAATGGGGCAAGGGATGCAAAGGGCAAAGAAGCCCAGGCAGCACATGGGCTGGCATGATCTGGGAGGGCTCCCTGTATGGCCAAGACTGGCAGTCACTCCTGGCAAAGCCTAACTCCAAGGTCTCGGTGTTTTCAGATAACACAGCCAACATCACAGTCAAGTACGGGCAGTTTGACCGCGAGCGTGCCAAGGTCCACTTCCTACCCGTGATCATCTCAGACAATGGGAGTCCAAGCCTCACAGGCACCAGCACACTGGCGGTGGCCGTGTGCAAGTGTAATGAGCAGGGCGAGTTCACCTTCTGTGAAGATATGGCCTCCCAGGCGGGCATCAGCATCCAGGCGCTGGTAGCCATCTTCCTCTGCATACTCACCATCACAGGTCAGTGCCAGGCAGGATGGGGAGGACATAATGAGAGGGTTTCACAGGAGGAGTAGAGGCCAGGGGTCCAGGCCAACCCTGCTTCCAGCCTGCAATGCAAACCTGGGCCTTGGGATGCTGTGTGCAGGATACACGAATGTGAGCTCCACCCACCTGGGCGCCTGAGGTGAGGTTGGCAAGTGGGTGCAGGGCCCAAGACCCCTTCCCCACCCATCAGGTCAGCTCCACTCTAAAACAACATATATTGCAGCCACTCATTCCACTTAGATATTTTGAGCACTTAGTGTATTGCCAGGCATTGTTCTGGGCATGTATTTACATAGGACCTATTTTTGAAAAAGAAAAAAGGATCCAGTTCTAAAAAGGAACGTTGAAAAACTTTGGGTTTAACTTGTCTCTGTGAGTTTCCTTTCCCTTTATAGAATTCCTCCAGCCTTGATATATTCCCTTTCTTGTTTGAGTCTCAGAAATTTTTGGAGTATTGGAAGCCTTAGTTTGGGTTCCCCAGGAAGCAGTCCTGGGACAAGCATTTGGGTGCAAGTGGTTATTTGGGAGGTGGTTTATTTCCCTGGAAACCTCCTAAGAAAGAGAGGGAGTGAAGCCAGGAAGAAGGCAAGCTGATAGGTTATCAGGCGAGTTTCCACCATGAGTAAGTGGAGCTTCCTCCTACTGGGGAACCAGGAGGAGGTGTGGAGCTACACCCCAGCATCTTCCCACCCACGGGAGAGGGTGGCTGTAAGTTACCCTGCATACTTCACCCACCACGAGAGGAGGTGGCAGCCAACCCCCCAGAGGAAGTCCTCAGGTGATTAGAGTTCACCCACACTCTACAATGACAAAGCCTGGATACAGCAGGGTACTCCAATTATCTGCTCCAGGTCTCTCCTGCCAGCGGCTCCCCTGAGAAGTCCCCTGGGTGTGTCCCCTTCTGGGGCTTCTGTGACAGACAGCCAAAACCCAGATTCCTCGTTTAATAATAATGAATACCAATGATGATGATGGCATCCCCACCACAAATAGAACTGTTTAAGCTCATAATCCCTTCCCAAATATAAACAAAGCAGAATAAGTCATCATTTCCATCTTACAGGCAGAAGGGGGTGTTACCCTGGGTATTCCATCTTTGCTGATGTAGATAGCAGTTTGTTAAGTAACTTAGGGATAGAAGGACAGTGCTTGGGTGTGGGCTGAGCCTAATTTTTGGAGCTCTCTGCACAGCACGGTCCACTCCTCCTCAGGGATCCAAGACCTTCACACAGCTACACCCATCAGAGATTCCAGCAGGGCCAGCATCTTCCCCACTGCTTGACTGTCACTTGGACCCTCTGAGCTCAGTTAGCTTAACTGTATAATGGGGATAATAGTATCTACATTGAGTGAGATAATAGGAGAATGTGCCATAGCACCAAGCACGTTTGTAGTAGATGCTCAAGAGAGTGGCCGAAGTTGACAGGCACCATGTCCATGAGCACCACATCCACCAGCACCATCACATCCATGATCATAGTCGGCAACAGAGTCATTACTCAGAATCCTTGACCTCCAAATTCCAGCTCCATCCCTCTCCCCACATCTGCCCAACACCTGGCCTCTAGGAGATGGCGTGGAAGGATATGCCACAGTGGCATGAGGAGGGAGGGAATGAGGAAGAAGGTATGTGGGCTGAGACCTACAGGATAGAATGAACTGGAGTGAGCTCCAAGCTCTTCCTCCTCCCGGTCTCCTCCAGTGTGTGTGACAGCCAGTCAGGACTAAGTGTCCCTGGGCCAGATGACTCTGTCCCCTGGGGTGCAGGTGTCTGGACTGAACCAAACTTTCCGTGTTGTCCTGGTCTGGAGTGGCCCTGGGAGATGGGGCTAGCTGTGGGAGTGTCCCTGCGAGGCAGGGCTCACCCTGGAGGTGTCCCAGGGAGACGTGGGTGGGCGTTGGAAATGGGGCTGGCCCGGGACTTGCAGGGAGGAGGAGCAGGAGCGAGGGAGTGAAGGCTGGAGGAGTCCTGTCCCCTGAGCCTCCTTGACACCTGTGCTTTTGCGGGCTGGCAGTGATCACCCTGCTGATCTTCCTGCGGCGGCGGCTCCGGAAGCAGACGGGCGCCCACGGCAAGAACGTGCCCGAGATCCACGAGCAGCTGGTCACCTACGACGAGGAGGGCGGCGGCGAAATGGACACCACCAGCTACGACGTGTCGGTGCTCAACTCGGTGCGCCACGGCGGGGTCAGGTCCCCCCACCCCGAGCTGGACGCCCGGCCGTCCCTGTACGCCCAGGTGCAGAAACCTCTGCGACACGCGCCCGGGGCGCACGGTGTGCCCAGGGAGATGGCCACCATGATCGAGGTGAAGAAGGAGGAGGCGGACCAAGACGGCGGTGGTCCCCCCTACGACACGTTGCACATCTACGACTACGAGGGCTCCGAGTCCATCGCTGAGTCCCTCAGCTCACTGGGCACCAACTCATCTGGCTCCGACATCGATTACGACTTCCTTAATGACTGGGGGCCCAGGTTCAAAATGCTGGCGGAGCTGTACGGCTCAGACCCCCGGGAGCAGCTAATGTTTTAGGGGGCCATAGCCCTCTGAGCCTGGGGGCCCAAATCCTCGAACGCCAGCCACCAAGCCCTCCAGAAATGGCACTGACTCCCCAGCCCGGCACCCCTCCCTCGTGGGTCCTAACCGTCCCTGGGATAGCAAACCCCAGGTCCCTGAAATGTCCAGGAGCATATTTCCAGTGATGGATACTCCCAAATGCTGGAAAATTCAGACGCCGCATTGCCCTGTCACCCCCAGACCAAGATCTAATGCCAGTACGCTCTGGCTCCACAGGGCTGCAAAGCAAAGCAGCCTGGGCTCACCTGCTGGGGGGGTGTCTTCCCCTGGGGACTACAAACCCCCTGGTGAGGCTGGTGAGGTCCTGGTGCCTGTTTGTCTGGAGGTGAAGGGCTGGAGAGCATGACCCATGCAGGGAGATGCTGCAGTCCAGTCCCAGGGGAGACTGTGACCATCTACCAGGCCTGTTCTCAAGAGCCCCAGCCCTGCTGTAACTCCCTCACACCCTCCCAAGTGCCCCATCACTTCCTGGCCCCTCTCCAGGCCCATGAAGAGGGAGAAAGGGGCCATGTGGCAGCTCCTGACCTTGGGTCCCGAGGTGACCTCACTGGACGGCCACACCAGCAACTGTGCTGTGCTGAGCATTGAACCACTCAACCACATTCAGGGAAATGACTTGCTGGGTTTTGAAGCAAATGTGAATTCATCCTGGAGAGACAGTGGACATCAAGTGTGACAGATCATAGGGTGAGGGCCACCTCCACACCCACCCCCTCGGGAGAGGGCCTAGAGTCGCCGAGACCTGGATTTGAGCCTCCTCAACATTCCTCCAATTTTGCCTGTGACTGGGGGAGATATACCTGGCATGGAAGATATACCTGGCCTGTCTCCCATCTCTGCCTCACTTGATTAGTCATTCATGCTGTCTCTTTTTCTTTTTCCCGTCTACTCCTTCTCTCTTGAATCAGAGGCATCCAAGCTGTGGCCCTCAGTAAGTCTGGCCGATGTCCAAACCCAAAGATGACCGCGTGACAGAGCTGTGCCATTTGCCTTTTCACTTCACTGTTGCCACATCTCAGGGAACTGACCCCCAGGCACGCCTTGTGGAAGGCAAGGGCTCTGTGGTCACCTCTGCATCTCCCACTCTCAGTCATAAATGGAACCTTCTGCCGCAAACTTGCCTTGGAGAGGTCAATCAACAGACAAGGGCAGGGAAGGAGGCAAACTCTCCAGCTCATCCTTCCTCATGGATCAAGGTTCTCACTCTGGACAAGGCCCTTCACACTGCAGAGGATTGTAGATAACACTGACTTTTTGAAAAACCAATAACTTGTTTTTCATAAGTTTTTTTACTAACAATACTTACAAGGTTCTAGCTCTTCCAAACATATGGAACACGGGGTTTTGCATAATAAGTAGGTTACTAATTTGATTAACAATTGTAATTCAGGTTTTTTTAGTTGGATAAGCAATTCCTGTAACCCTCTACTTCCTATCATTGTAGTAATTGCACTGCAGATAGTGACTGTATATTGGTCACACTGGTGCACAAGACGTACTGTATTTTTTTATACCCTAAATAAAGAAAAATATTGCAATTCTTCCAATTCTAGAGCTGAGAGACCTCATGTGAAACACATGCAGACACATAGACACGGACACACATACCCATATGAGCATACACACATACCACCACCACCACCACAACCACCACCACCTCTACCATCATCAAAGGAACCTATAGAGCAAGGGACATTGTAGACTCCTAGGAATATGTCAAAGCTTTTCAAAGTCCCCTCTGGACAACTTATTTCCAACTTTACCTTTTAAAGACAAGATATTGTTTCTTGGCTTCTTGTTTGCCCCAGCTGTTATCACGGTCTGGCCACTGCAATGTAAAACTCTTATCACCAATTGTTTTCAATAAACACCCCAGGGAAAAAACTGTGTGCATCAAGTAAGCTCCAAATCAGGTCAAACAAGCACAGCTATGTAAGTGGGGTCTTCCAGGGAGCCATGAGACAAGTCAAATAATGACAGTGATGTGAGGATCGATCAGGCTTTGCAGGAACTCCATCTCTGTTCTATTCCTTCCAGTGGTCCGTGGTCCCCCGTGTCCCCCTCCCTCCCCCCGCTGCTGATTTTCACTATAATAGTGAGGCCATTAGGTTTTAAGTTTACCTCAAGGCTGGGGAGTAGGAGGTGGGACTATGGCAAGTTAAAACACCACCAAGCTCATTGTTCTTACCAAAATTTACCTGTTTTTCTTGAGTAGACATGTCCTGGATTGTTTCAAGTTTTTGGTTAATTTCCAGAGTTCTGAAAAGTTGACTTTGACAATTTTTGCCAGTATTTTAATTGCTTTTATGGAGGAAAGAAGTTCCTTACTCAGCCATTCTTGCCGATGTCACCCCTTCAGGCCAGTTTGTTTTTTGTGTTTTTTTTCTATTTTTTTTTTTTTTTTTGAATTGGA